CCCTAAACAAATGCGTTACTAGTTTGTTTTGATTTCATGCTACATCTGATCTTATGGGGTGCGCTACAACACATCCGCGCAAAATTATTAAATCCTATAAAAAAAAGTGGTTATATATATTTTTAACCAATCAAAATTCATTACACAAAAATTAGCCAATCATATTTGATTACATAATCATAAATTTGGCACTTTTAAAGTGGATATCTGTATAATAAAAAAAAATGCTTTTATAAAAATCAAATATGCATTTGAACTAGAATTTAAACGTGCATTTAGAGAGAGCGTATACTTATAAAAGTATACTTAAAGGGGCCTAACTATATTATAAAAATGCAAATCTTATAAATTGTTATTAATATATTTATTTAACCTTAATCCTGATACACTCTATTTCTGATCTGAATTTTAAATGCGCATAAGTTGTATTTATTAACATTAATTTAAAAATTTTGTGAATTTGTTCACTATGATCGAAAATGGAATATGTTCGGGTTATGAATCCAAGTTAAATAGGAATCCCGATTTCAAAACCCAAACTATGTAGTAATGTCATAATTCAAAAAAATGGTTGTCAAAATCCTACTGTTCATGTTGCTGCATTTTCATTTGTTCCGTTTGCCTCAATACCATAGTACTAACAAATGATTCGCGTTCGTCACTAGTACTTGCAAACTGCTTTAGTTTTTCGTCATCAACTTGACTTTGTAAACCAACGGTAGTTCTTTTAATCGCCAGAAGTTGGTCCGTTACAAGGCGTACAGTATCTATTACTGGAGAAACTGAAAAGCAATTTAATTAGGACATCAAAATTTGAGGCGAATCGTTTGAAAAAAAAAAAAGAAACCACCACCATTGTAGTGCTTGGCCGTAGTCAACAAAAACGATAATCTTTCTTTCCATTTTTCCAGCTTTTTGACACACTTGTCCGTTCTTGAGATTTCTTCTTTAAGTTTATAGTTCATCGCTTTAACCTGTTTTAAGTTCAAATACATAGCATTCATAATTTTAACAATTTAAATAAACGAGCATATATATGAATCTTACAGCCAAAACTTTTTTTCGCATTGTATCTAATTCCTGATCAACACGTTCTTCCTTGGCTTGATCCAAAGTAAAATCCATTCCCTATTTTAAAGACAGCATAGTAAAATAACAATAGATTTTTCTATGTACTAACAATCATAGTCCTTTTATACCTCTCGATGTGGTAAGGCGATTTCTAACTTGTCGGGTATAGCAAAAATATTGCGCAAAGCATAAATTTCAAACATATCGAAGTGATGATCAACCAATGATTCTAACAATGTCTCAACCTGATGGATTCCCTTCATTACATCAAGAATTCATAGGAAGACTAACATTAATAACTGTTAATAGACTACTTCTCTTTATGAAACTTCCAAATAAAATAAACTCAATTGCTCAACTTTGTGAATTCCCTCCCATACTTAATTAATGTCTTAAATAATATTGCGAAGTTAAACAAACCTGATCAACCTCTTCGCTAGAATTCAGTTCTGACAAAACAAACTGCTCTAGACCCATAATCGCCGTATAAAGAAGATCATTTACAGAATTAATAACGTCGTCAATGGCAGAAATTGGAGTAAATCCAAAGTGTTCCACCAGAGTTTCAATAGTATTTTGTTCCATGACAGTAAATTTTGCGTTTGACTATATGGCGCGAAATATCTGGTATTTATTTTATTTATTTACGCGTTTTACCGAATTGTATTTGATAGAAAGAAGTTCGTTTGATTGGTCAATTTTTATGGATTTACCCGTGATCATAACCAATCAAATTGCATAAGTTTTAAAAAAATTTTTCGCTTTAATATTACTACAGCAAAAGACCAATCTAGTGTTCCGACCCGGATAGGTGTCACCCGAGTCACCCGCGGGTGGGTGGGTGACCTGGGTTGAATTATGACCACCCGGGTGGTCAACCCGCGGGTCACCCGCCAAAAGAATTTCCGATTGTTGCCTATTCATTAGCTTTTTTCTCGGGCATTATAACATACAAGAAGAGAGTAGTTTATGCACGGGTAAGGCCAGACCAATTTAATTCTTCGTTTAACATACCCCCCCCCCCCTATTTTTTAAAATTTATATGAACCCAATACTCACTAATAGTAATTAATAGTATTTACCCCTCCTCAATTTTTTAAATTTTATATAACTAACACATGTTAAATCAACCAATAAAATTGCTGTTTTTTTTTAATTTGTGTATTTTTCATGCCCTCCCCCCACTCTTATGAACCATTTAATGTTATGTTAAACAAAGAATCAATTTGGAGTGGCCTAACCCGCATTTACTAATTTCTTTCACAGTTGTGATTGGCTAGGATTATTCGTGCAAATTTACGTGTTACCTTCTAAATAAAATGTGACACCTCAGTTAGGGTTTGGGGTTAGAGTTAGTAGATGGCATTATATGTACTAAAATTTTGCAAGGAATTTTTTTTGTTAGTGCATAAAAGGTGATTTCTTAGTGAAGTTTTGTGATAAGTGTAACTTTTCAAAAAAAAGCGATTATTGTTTTGATCATCACATTACACCTGATCTTGCATCCTGATTGGCCAATATCACAACCATGGGGAGAAATTAGTAAATGCGGGTAACCCACATTAGATATACAAATTTATTTTATATTGATACATGAAAATCTAAAATGTAAATATATTGGAAGCGAGAATGTGAATATAATGAGTCAACTGATAAAAAACAGAAATTGGAAAAAGGGTGTCTTTAAAATAAACCCGGGTCTATATTATTAACCTATGA